CTCCCTTTGTTGAAGATGGGAACCACATTGGCCCTCTTCCAGTCCTCTGGCACCACACCAGAGCACCACTAGTGCTCGTACAGCCGTGCCAGGGGTCCCGCAATGACCGCAGCTAATTCCCTCAGCACTCGGGGGTGGAGATCGTCTGGACCAGCTGATTTAAATACATCCCGTCCCTCCAGAAGTTCCCTGACTAGATCCTCCCTGACCCTGGGCCTGGGTCAAGGCCCAGAGGAATCAAGGGACTTCATCAACATCCCAGAGGAAGCCGGTGGCAGATGGAAAAGGTGACCCAGGGCACCAGAGTCATAATCCACAACATTAACCTTCCTGCACCCTGCCTTCCCTAAGGATGGCAGAGGTCTTGCATACGAGGTACCTGGGCAGACTGGAGAAGAGGTGCAAGGAGGAACGACAGAATCACACTAGCAGGCCAAGAATCAGGCTGGGCCAATTAAGTCCACTGAGAACGAATATTGCAGCCTGAAGCTCGATACCAAGCCTGGAACTGGCCTCTCTTCAGTGGTCTTGCTCTGAAAGCTCAGAGCAGTGCTTCTCAATCTTTTTAGGCTTTAGCCATTCCTCAATAGCCTTGAGGCCCCCTCAGGACATGCCGGCTCTTCATTTTCACTTTTTTGACTGCAGAAAAATAATATAGCAATGCTTCTGTTGCAAATAACTTAGATCACAACAGGTTGCGATGCTTTTGACACTATGGATTCCTGTTCAAAACCTTTGGGGTTCTCTTGGGCATCAGGTTTGCACACCTACCAGTGCTAACACCTCGTGTCAGGAAGGATCTCAAGACAGCCCAGGATGCTGCGGTACCCCAGCTGAGAACTGCTGGTTTAGAGGTTCGTTTTTGGAGGCGATACCGCCAGGTCTAGCCATCGTTCCCAAATTGCACCATATTCTCAGGCTCTGGTTTCTAAATGCCATAGAGAAAGGCAGGGAATTTCCGACACACTGCTAGTTATCATAGTGATTCATTACCCTGCATCCATTTACACTTGCATCCAATGCTGCTCTGCCAATTGCAGCAAAAGCGCAGGTACGGGCCCCTCTTCCTGCCAGCCCCAATGTGCCAACGTGTCTTTGTGCCAACAGGAGAAAAGTCCTTTTGTCTCCATGCTGAATGATCCAGTTTTTCTCCCCACCTCCTTTTGGGAGGCTCAGCCCCTGTTCAACAACCCCTGCTGGAAAAGGAAGGCTTTGTTCTGCAATATTCAGCTCCTCTGCAAAAAAAAAATAAGAAATCTTGACCTTGTGAAAACACCCACAAAGACTTCAATAAATAGAAACTGCCTTTCACATAGTTCTAGAAAACAGACGCTGGGCCAACTTCACCCCAGCTGTAAATACTTGGGCTACACTGGCATCTCTCTCATGTGACATCTCTCACACCAGAGATGAGCTCGGCCCCTTCTGCACAACCAGGCTCTGCGCTGTATTCGGCGGGATTCACTTGAACAGAGGAAGAAAATTAAAGTAATATCAGGAAGAGGGCTATTAATATCTGGTGTGAAGGAGGCCCCGTTTCCCCACTTCGCACCGCGACTGAAAGGGATGCTGACAACTTTCAGTTTTGGGAACCGAGTAACAGAAGAAACACAATTTCTGGTTAAACAGCAGGGCCCAGATTGTTTTTAGGAGTCCTTTTACATTTCCTCTATCTGGTTTGCATCTTCCAGAGGATCTGCATCTCAAGGGAGAAAGTGACTGAGGCCCTGGGTTTGGTGCAGCAGTTGTTGCTTGCAAATTCTGCCTGAATGTTTTCCAGGTGACAGACACGGGATTTTCTAGCGGATGGTATCCATGTAAGGATGCAATAATCCTAACTTGAAATGAGAGTTGGTACAGTAACAAAACAAAACAAAACAAAGGAGGCGACTATCACGGCCAGCTGACTTTGCCTAGAGTGATGATCTTAGGATATTATTTGTATTGAGGCCAGGCCTTCTGAGCTGAACCAGAGACTTGGCTCTCAGGCACTGCGTCCAGACAAGAGGCAGTCTCTGCCCCAAGGAGGTCACAGACTAAGTTTGCCTGCAACTATCAGACATATGTCGAGAAATCATCACCGTTAATACAACAGGCTTGTTTTATTGCACAGTATGGTCTGATGGTTACAGCACTGGGTGGGGGATCACTCTGTTGCACAATACGATCTGATGGTTACAGTGGGGGGGATCACTACATTGCACAGTACGATCTGATGGTTACAGCACTGGGTGGGGGGATCATTACATTGCGCAGTATGATCTGATGGCACCCAGTGGGGTCAGGGGGCTGGCTTAGTATCTATCTCCATCTCTAACTCTTCCTGCCTCACCGTATGCTGGTCACTTTAGCTTCTCAGTGCCTCGATTTCCGTACGTGTTGTGGGGCGGCTGTTATGGTTTGCAATCTTCCCTGAAGTGCTTTAAGAGCTCTAAACAGAAAGCAGCACAGCTAGCTCACAAACACGAAGGACTCAAGAAAAATCACCCAAAGGACCAGAGGAATTTTCCACTCCATCTCAGGTTTCTTGTACTTTTGTCACAAGGCAAACAGGAATTGAAACCAATTAACTGTACTATTAAATAAAGCCGACCTCTTGGATAAGAACACTTTCCATTCCCTCCAAGACAAAACCTTTTCTCTCTCTCCAGCTCCCTTGCAGCCTGGCAAACCACGCCGGGCTTTACAGCAATTGCATGAAAGGCCCCATAAAGCAAGCAGCTTCCCAAAGTCTGCCATCGTCCAAACGCCAGCTGAAACGCACAGCACTGAAGCTGCGAATTCAGAGCCCAGGACACCCACAGGCTATTAGAGTTAATGATCTCTGGACAGCCAGATCTGCTGAAAAAAAAAAAAAAAAAAAAAAAAAAAA